TACCTGTTCTCATTGGCACTGGAGATCTATTTATCGGCTGTATTCATTAGTGAAAAGACAAAGAGTTCATGTAAAGCAATTATATTTATTTCTATCTAGCTTTCCATACAATTGTGTGCTTTATAAATATTCCATGTGAAACAAACGATTCAGAAAATCGTCAAAGAATTTGAATACAGGTTGTTTTTATGCTTTGAAGGGGGAAAGGGTGGGAGCCCTGTGATGGCAACTCTTAATGGCATTTCCATTGTGCCATGCAAGACAATGAATTTAAAGAGCAACAATCTATGTTAAACAAAGCTAAACTATAGCAAGCACCAACTATGTTTTAATGAACGATGAGGAAATTAAAAGCTTCTGGCACTCTATAGCACACTAGCCTTTGTTTTTGACTGAAGTGCCCATTAGGCACAAAAGGTCCAGTCAATCAGGTGCTGCCCATATAGTGGGTAATTGCTGTGGGGCCCTGCACTGCTGAAGGGGACCATTTTTAATTCTGCTCCCTTTCTTGAACAATACCAGAGTTTGCCCATGCTTCTTCAACAGTCACTTTAATTTGTCCGCAGTTTCTTTTACAGCTAAATTGGCTGATTACAGCCAGTAGCCTTTTGTTCATTAAGAGTAGCAGCCTATTATATGTTTCTTTCCGAAGTGTTCATAAATAAATGCCAAAATAGAGTTTATCAGTGTGTGAGGGGAATTCCAGTACTGTATTTCTGTTTTGAGTTTAGTAACTTCTGGAGACTGACACACGGGTGTTCCTGGCATAGCCTGGGCAACTCCTAACCCTTTGGACTAAGGAAGAGCTAAACCAATAGAAAGCAAAGGAACTTTAGCACTCATTGCATCACACATTCTCTATTTACAGATGATAAGTGAGACAAATATTTTGTTCCAAGTGTAAATGTTATATGGAGATTTGGTAAATTCCTTTAAATCAGGTTTTCTTTGCTCTTTTTGCTTGGCACAGGCTGTACAGCCATGGTACTCACCTAATAAGTATTTGATTTAGGTTTTTGTTTGTTTGGTTTGGTTTTGATAAATGAACTACTTGAGGATTGGGGAATTTTATTTTTATTAGCTTTTAAATTGATGTGCAATGGCTTGACAGTCACAATGCTTTTGCCTTTTGGTGGCAAGTAGAGCAAAGCAGCTCCCCACCAATGATCCTACATTTCTTAAGGACAGATACCTAAATTCAACTATTGCATTTGTTTGTAATTGATTAGTGGAATGGCTTGTTCAGAAAGGAACTGCTGACATTTGGTTTAATTGCCTTGGACCAGTTATGTCCCAGGTGCCCAAGTGATGGGCATCTTGGATAAAACTAATAAATAAGTTGAGTATACATTTAGAGTCAAGTGCTAGCTTTGGAATATTTTTCCACATGGTTCAACTTGGGTAATGAAGGCATTTACTCTCTAGAGTATCTAAAGTCCTGAAAGATATGGTTTGAATTTATAGAAAATGGTGAGGAAAATTACTTTGCATTGCTTGCTTATTTTAAAAGTCATACCTTGCTTGAAAAGGTACGCTAAGGATCTGCTTATCTCTTAAATTAAAGTAACAGGTTCTTAATAGAATGGAAGTACACGAGTCAAAAAATGTTTGAACTAGGTGGGTCATGGTAGGCAGCAAGATGGTGTCTGCCAACAGGGCTGTTCAGGTAGTGAAGCTACTTGTTCCATTATTTAGGTTTCTTGACGTAAATCATCATCTTAAATATGGTACCTCAGAAGCCTTGAGAAGAGCAGGGCTACCAACTCTTGCTTCTCTAAATTTTCAACCTTCTAAAGGAAGTAAATGGGATTTTTTAAAACGTTAGGGTCTACCAGACACCGCAGCAATAATAAAAGCTTTCATTACACCAGAAATACACACAAAACATGTGTCTCAGAAAGAAATGAATTTATCCAGTGTAGGGATCCCAAATCTTCACTGTGGCTGCTGCTTGTCATCAGTGAATGTATTAAAGAACAGGAAGAAAACATGCAATAAACATCTCATGCTGAAGGCAAAGACATCAATACCACTAGAGCCTATTTGTCATGGCCTTGGAGGACTTGGAAAACTAAACACTGGGGATTTTAACTTTTCATAGTTGTTTCCTTTTCAACCACCAAATTGAGTTCATCCAAGACTACCTTCAGGGAGGATGAATGGTCTGATTCCAGGGTGAAAATTTTATATTAGAATGCATCAACCTATAGACAGATGCCAAATATATCCATCATATGTTCATGGTCCACTGAGAAACAAGTCTTGGTTGTTGTCCTAGAGACAGATAAGAAATCTTAGATAAGTCATGGGATAGAAAAACAATTGGCACACAAAATAACAGGGCCCTGGTTAATGAAGCAGATGGTGTCGTAGAGAAAGTGCCATAGGATCCATAGCTCTGAGTTTGTTGGGTTTAACCACAAACTCTGAGCCTTCCACAAATGACTTGGTGCCCAGTGTGAGTTGTAAGAATTTCCCAGGGTAGAACACGTGCAAACAGGTCCAGTTTCCATTCTCATGAGGACTCCATTGACAAAGAGGGATGGAGCTGAGAATCTATATCTCCTTCTTCTTTCTGCAACAAGGTTTCTAAGTGAGCTCCACTCTCAAGGAAGTTATGAATCTCTGACTTAATCAACACCATCGCCTACCTGTATTTTTGGCCCTTGAAAAATCACAGAGTTGAAAGAAACAATCGCAGTGTTCTTAGGGGTTTCCTGTTTCACATGTCAGTTTTCTGAATTTGTTTTACATTGTAATGACCCAAGCATGACAGAGGGCTGCAGATATAATTGATTCTGTTTGTTGAATGATGTAATCACAAACAGCTAAAAGCAGGTATGTTTGTACAGCAGAGGGATCCTTAGATAACCATACAAAAACATTTGTGTCCCTGCACATTTATATGTAGATGTGTGTGTTGTGTATCTGAGTCTTTCCAATTGAGTGGCATACAGAGACATTGCTTAGTGAAGAATCACACACTGAAGATGAATAACAGAGGCAAGCACTGAATTTGTCTTCATTTTCTGTTATGTGAGTTACCTTTTCTGAACTTGATATAAGCTTGGGGCATTGATGAAGAAGGAACTTTGATTGAATAATGCCCTCCATCAGACTGCTCCATAGGCAAAATCTGTGTGGCATTGCCTAGCCCATTGTGGATTGTACCAGCCCAGGAAAGATGGTCCTGAGTTGTCTAAGAATACAGGCTTAACAAGCCAGTAAGCTTCATTCCTCCATGGCCTCTGATTCACTTTCTGCCTCCAGGTTTCATCTTGAGTTCCTGCTCTGACTCTGATCAGTGACGGACTGTGGTTAGTACTTGTTCACCTTTCCTTCCCAAGTTGCTTTTGGTTGTGATATTTGTCACAGTAATAGAAAGCAACTTATGACATCTGTACAAATTCTGGAGCAGTGGCTCTCAACCTGTGGGTTGTAACCTGTTAGGGGTCATATATTAGATATCCTGCATATCAGATACTTGCATCATGATTCGTAACAGTAGCAAAATTACAGTTATGAAGTAGAAATGACAGAATTTTATGGTGGGGGGGGGTCACCACAACATGAGAGACTGTTAAAGGGCCACAGCATTAGGAAGGTAGAGAACCACCGCTGTAGAGTCACTTATCAGTCTCTGTCCCTTTTCTTCATGCCAGAAAGACAAAATTGTCTACTGCCCATGAGAAAAAATCCTAGTGATCTTCCAGTAGAACCATCTCTGAATGTGATGTGATGTGTGCTAGACGATCATCTTTCTTGGGAATAAGCTCTGTACACTTACTCAGTTGTCAGACACTCTTCAGATCTGAAAAGAACAGGGGGAGCTGGGTCCCTAACTACTCCCCACTTCTGCTCTTTCTCTGAGTGCCATTTCGTATCACCTCAGTAGGCAGGGCCTGCTGTTCAGGTCTGTGCTAGGAGCAGGTCATGCTCTGTTTTCTTCCTGCTTTTCATAGATTATGGAGGAACTAGTTCGTCCATATAGGCTTCCTGATGGGAGAGTGCTGAGCAAAATGGAGAGGGATATATAACAAGTTCCAAATGTTTATAATGAATCACAGAAGTAACATAAGGCCAGGGATTTATATCTTGAATTTAACCTTGAAGAAAAGGGGAACATATAACCTGTCAGAGGTGTAGAAAGAACTTCAAGAAGGAGAATTTTGAAGAAGGCATGATGATATTAGGAAGGGATGGTGTTTAATATGAGTTTCTGGAATCTTATTCAGCAGAGTGTACTGAAATAGTACCGCTGAATATCTGAAGAATGCCTCAGGGCAATGGCTTCTCTAGTGTTTTGTTCAGTACACACTGGCCTTGCCCTGGTTCCCTTCCTATTTTTATGACAAAAATACTTAAAATAGGCCTTAAAAGAAGCTTTGAAGCCAGGTAGTAAAATAACCACTCAGAGAAGGCAAATTTGGACTTTCCAGGGTTGTTATCACATTAGACGTTTCCTAGGACCAACAAGAAGAGGTGACTCAGGATGGTAGCCTAATCATCACAGGGGGAAATCTACAGGGTACCAGATTTTAATAGGCCACTCAACTGAATTGAAGACTCGAAGCAGACAAAGGTGGCACCTAGGTTGGCCACAATCATTTATATTTGAGCCCTGACCAAACACCCAGACCAAACCCAACAATAATTCTCTTTTCTTTGTGTTCTGAGATAAGTGGTTTCAGGACAGGCTGGAAGGGTAAGCAAGCAGTCTTGGTGTTTCTCAAAATCTCCTCCATTATTTTACATTCCAACTTAGAACACCATGACAAGTTCTTGTCCTTAATAGAAAGTATGTCACCAAGAGATGTCTTTATGATATATTACTTTCCTGAGCTTTATGTCCTGAGTTGATGTTTGGTCCCTACATCAACATTACTGTAATTGTGTAGATTATGCAGTCATAAGTGCTCATAGACTAGACTTGGTTCTTAGATGTAAGCTCCTTTCCTCTTTTCATCCTTATCACTATCAAAATTTATTTTTACCATCAGATTACCAGAAAATACATTGACTATCACAGATAGTAAGAAAATTTTCAAAATGCATGAATCAAGAATAAGGGAATCTGAGGTACATACTAATGTATGACCTGCTTTAGTTTATAATATGTTATTCACATTAAAATATCCACTTTTTCTTAAATATTACATGCTTTCCCACACAAATATGAAGGGTGAATTTGTGTGGTAACATTTTTGTTTGCTTCCTGACCTAAAGTTTTTCTTAATAATATTAATTGTCATGTGATGTGTGCTTGAAAATGTGGGCCTGCCTGCGCCATAGCCAGTGTGTGGAGTTCTGAGGGCCATGTCGTGGAGTTGGTTCTCTTCTTCTACGTTACTGAAACATCATCCTTCTCATTATTGCTACCAATATTGCAAACACCAACGTAGCTGGCCCTGGATATCCCAGGTGATTCTCTTCCATTCCACCTCACTGTAGGAGTCCTAGTATTACAGTTATAATCCATTACACCTAGATTTTTTTCATATGGGTTCTAAGTATCAGATACCAGTCATCAACTTTATGTAGCAAACACTTTCACCTGCTGAGCCATTTCCCAGAGTTCTTATACACAGCATTCTTAAGGAGAGAATTTTGTTGCAACTAAGTGGCCTAGTCTAGTTGTGATATTGGAGAGCAACCTCTAAGTTCACAAACTTACTAGGTACCACTATGACACTGACTAAAAGACTGTCTTATGTTTTTCTGAATAAATTTGTAATTTTCTTTTTTTCCTCAAAGAACCTGCCAAGCTTTGGACATCAGAAATATAGAGTTAGAAACATGTCAAGGTCATCGGTAGCTTTGTGGAGGGAACTGGGCAAGAGAATGAACACCCTTGAAAAGCAACTGGAAGTGCCAATCAATTCGCAGTGGCCAAGGCAGAGGTGAAAATTAGCATGGCCTATTCACAGGACAATCAGCACTGATTTGCAAGCTGGGAGTAGAATACCAGTGCCATTTTACATATTTCAGAAAATGCTCTTGGAAAGAGCATCAGTGAGCCAGTCTGGATGAGAACCAAATCTAGAATTTGTTTGAAATGATTCAAGAGCTGAAAATCTGGGACATCAACATTTTAGAATTTTAGATCTTATGTCATTTGGCCCAAATGACATTTTCCAGGAGAGGAGGATGAGGGGTCAAGAGTGACGTGAGTTACTGAGTGTCCTTGAGGTTGACAGGTCTGAGCTAAGTCTCAGGCTCCAGGGTTCAGAGCTCTGTTTTCAATCACTGCACCACTGTACCTGCTCGAACGGATGTAAGCAGCATCAGTGTCCTCCCTCCTCTGGGTCCACAAAGACGACTGGGATGAGAAGTCTCTCTGATGCCAACTTTTAAACAAGTGATAGACAGCTGGTAGATCACTCTCTTCACAACTTTCTCCAGCCAAGAAGGATATTAGTAAGTTATGGATTAGTCAGGGGATGTATATTTGTTACTTATCCATTACTATGATACATTTCCTTAACTAAAAAAAAAATAGAGATGAAAGAGTGTATTTTGCTAACAGTTTCAGGAGGAATACAGTCCATAATGGCAATGAAGATATGGCAGCTGGAGTATGAGGCCACCCTCAGTCAGGAAGCAGAATGATCACATTTGCTGTGTACATGGGAAGTCAAGAGAAATAACAGGATGTGGGACAAAGCGCTACAACCTCAAATTCGAATGCCGTGGCATACTTCCTCTAGCAAGACTCCACATCCTAAAGATTCTTGTTTAACTGAGCTTTGTCTATCAATGTACACAGCCTAGAGTCACTGGGAGTCTCAACTAAAAAACTTCTCAGATCAGATTAACCTGCAGATATGTCTACATGCGATTTTCTTGATTGACATTAATGTGGGAGGACCCAGACCTCTGTAGGACTCCAGTACCCTTTACATGTGGACTTAGGTTATTAAAAATACCCTGTGAGTGTGATCAGCAATGATCGAGAGATCAATCCAGCAAGCAACATTCCTCCATGGTTTCTGCTTAAAGCTCTTTAGCTTGACTCCTGTCTTGACTTCCCTCACTAATTGATTGTACCCTGGCAGTGTAAGCCAAATAAATTCTTTTTCCCAAAGTTGCTTTTGGTCATATTATTTTGTCACAGCAGCAGACAGGAGACCATAGCCCTTCTATGGCATTCTCAAATAGCCCTGCAACTGAAGACCTAGTGTTTGCATACGTGAGCCTATTATTCGAATCCTAGATGGTAGAACATCCACTACACACGTGCATCTTCGGTCTTGGGCATTGAGTAGATGTCTCTCTCTGTGTGCCACAATTTTTCCACCATGTCCAGGTGTTGATCTAATCCTTCTCATCAGGAGACTCCGTTCAATCAATTGAAGTTGGCATGTGAGATAAATCCCATTTACCATTTCTATTTGTGTTTGCTTCTCAAATTGGAGATACCTTGATTTCTTGAGATTGCTTGAGAGCAGTTCTTAACATGATGTGGCACTGTCTGAGATCTGCAGCCTGCCCCGAAGGAAATCTCTCTAAATGTTAAAATAATATCCTTATAGGTCCAGAATACTCTACCTGATTGAAAGCCCATTCAGGGACAAGTATGGCACACCTGCAGATGGAATTCTGAAAGTGTCTATCTCACGTTTTACATTTTTGTTTATCTTTTATTTTAAGTGTGAATGAGAGAGCACGTGATTGAATAACCATGTCTTCACCTGTGTGTTTATGTATGTGGAAACCAGAGGTTGGCATCAGATGTATTTGTCCATTGTTTCTCCACCTCACATTTTGAAAAATGTTCTCACAATAACTTAGGGCTCAGATTTGGCCAGAGTAGCTAGCTGCTGAGTTTCATTGATCCTCCTGTCTTCATCTCACCAGCGCTGAGAATTCAGGACTATACACTGTGCTCATTTTTTTAATGGACTCTGGGGAGTGGAATATGAGTCTTCTTGCTTGAGGATCATGTACCATACTGGCCGAGCCATGTCCCCGGGTTCTGAGTTGCTTTTGTAAAGATTGAGATGAACGAAGATTGGAAAGTGCTCTGTCACTTATCCACTCTCAGCAAATTACCTGTACCTGTCAGTCCCTGTGTTAGTTGCTTTTCTCTTGCTCTGATAATACGCCATGACAAAGGAAACTTATAGGACAATTTTCTTTTGGCTTATGGTTCCAGAGAAATAAGTCCACTGCAATGTCAGGTGGTCACAGAAGCAGACAGGCTTTGCCCTAGAATCAAGAAGTTGAGAGTTCTCATCCTTAACAACAAATACACCATGAGACCCCAAGATATTGGTCACCAAAAGGCATTATGGTTGGGTGTGAAATGCTCTTGATAAGGCAAAGGGAGGAGTCAGTTAGGCTGTGAAAGTGGAAGCCTGGGGTTCTAATGACAGAAAGGGACTTGGTATCAATTACCCCAAATGTATGTCCTTTCATATGAGTGACCAGTGTTAGAGGGCTCCCAGTTCTCTATGAGCAAAGTGTTAGGAGCATGCTCAACCAGAGATGTAAACACGAATTTATATGGCCTCTGAGAACTCAGCAAAGCCTCTGTTCTCTACGGGCCCCCACTTCCCAAAGAATAAAATCAAGGTGATAACATCTACCCTGTTCCCATACAGGAGTATTTTGAAAGCAGTTTAAATTTAAATTAAGAGATAGAGCAATAATGGGGCCAAATTGAAAGCTCAATGTGTGGCTTGTTTATCTCTTAGCCAACTGTGAACAGCAGAAATGTTGCAGTGAATGGTGCCAATAGAGCCCACAGATAGCAGAAGTCCAAGTAACAAGGCTGATGTGATAAAGACAAAGAGATTACTGTTCATTGGGTTTTTTCCTCTATAAACTCAAGCAGTTCCAAGGCAATGAGGTTTTGATATTTTATCTGTTCTACATATATAGCTCCAGAAGAAATACCTTTAACTACTGGTTCATGTGGACACAGAAACCAGCCCTGAGAGTCTTCACAAGGTCATGTCCAAGGATGAAAGAATTCCCAAAGGCCATTTACTTACATCCTTAATATTGTAAAATTTTTCCCCTGAGTTGCCTGCATAGGAAACAGGTACACCAGCTCTTCCTCAATGCAACATATAGATGGAGATGTTTAAAACAGAATTAGCTTTGTGGGGTACGATGACTATTATTGCCTTTTTGTAAGGTCAATTACTGTGTAAAACTTGAAAGCTTAGTACTAACATAGCACTTCGGCATTACAAAAACCCTAGAACAAAACTACTGTGAAAAATTCCCATTTTTAAATGGCATCCCACAGTATAGATAAGATGTTCAGAGTCACACAAAGGGACGTCACAGAAATTCCATTGATGGTTTGTTTACTGCTTCTCCTGGGGCACAGCTCTGAAGGGTCTAGAGAAACACAGGCACTAGGCTAGGTACTTGGGACTTTTGTTGTGTCAGTATAAAGTGGGCCACTGCTCCTGTGAAACTCATTCTGGAAGCAGAACCAAGCTCTAAATTAAATTCTGTGACGTAGTCCAGAGTGTGTCCTACCCAGAGCAGTAAGATAACATGATGTTGAGTCTTACCGAATGAAGGGGATATCAATGCCATCAAAGGGATCAGAGAGAGAGACCTAGATTGAAAATGGAACATTTGCTGAATAACATGGTTCTGGGGAGCAAAAGAGATAAAAAGAACAAGACGGGGGGAAATAGGAACGGGGAGAGAGAAAGAGAGAGAGAGAGAGAGAGAGAGAGAGAGAGAGAGAGAGAGAGAATGACTATAACTTGTTCATTTCTTCAGAGTTTTTTTAGGCTCTGTAATCTATTTAATCTTCTCCTTTCTGCTGTTTCAAGACAAGATTCGGTGCCCTGGAACCTATACATATTGACATCTACTTATAAGCATTATACAGTGTGTGTGTGTGTGGATCAGTTTCAAGTCAGAGTACAATTAGCATAAATAATTAACTCTCAGAAGTTTCTGAAGATCTCCCCTTTATATACGTTAGAAGGTCCCATGATAGAGCAACTTCTAGCAGTTTTGTTTTGTTTTGTTTTCCTCGAATGGGAGAAGCAGAGAAAGAGATTCCCCTGGGTGTATGTATCCTACTCTTACTCGAATACACACTCTTCTTATGTTTACTGTAGGAAAAATAGTTGAAGATTACTGAAATAAAGATAAATTTATGGTAACAAAAGACATGCCTAGTGAAGCAGAATCCAATTAAAGGGGAGGGTGCATAGCCGGTCTAGGGTTTTGGTTGTCTCTGAATGAGAGAAAGTGGTGTAGTGAGAACAGAGAGAACTTTAAATAAGTGTAATCCTCTTACAGAAGCCACATGAGGTAGGTTCCAGGACCCCCACAGATGCTCAGATCTCTTTTTTACAATATGGGTTGTATATACTGTCATTAATTCTATGTCTCAGAATGTTTTGGTACAACACATATTCTTGGTAATTAAACATACTTAAGTCTCCACCTCTCTTCCTAAGAGGCATCTTGTGATGCTTATTAATTATATATGGAATTAGGGATAATGGGTAACAGTGCTTGCTCTGGGATCAATAGGTTGACCTGAGTTCAAATTATTAGCATTTGTGTAAAATGTCAAGCATGGCAATCATACCTGTGACTCCAATGTTGGGAGACAGAGACCAGCAGATCCTGGGAACTTGCTAGCCAGTCAGCTTGTCTAACACATCAAGATACATGTTCATAACGAGATCTTATCACAAAAAATAAGGTGGAGAGTGATAGAGGAAGACTTCTTGCATCTTGTTGGCCTGTGTGGGAACACACTGTCACACACACCTACCCACATCATACACACACACACCACATAGACACACCACCTACATTCACACACACACACTCACACACACACATCTACACACATGGATACACACACACACACACACCACACAGAGACACACCATCTACATACAGATGCACACACGCATATCTACATACACAGACATACAGATACCATACACACACATACACACACACACACTCCTTGTGCCCTTCAATGTTTGGTTTAGCTGATGCATCTGTGGTTGCAGTGTTTGTAGAAAGAGAAAGAAAACATTTGCTGTTAGCTGGGACATCTTGGGAGAGGTGACAGACACAGCACCATTGAAGGCTTCCCTTCAAGCACATATTGGCATCCCTTCTGAGAACACAGGCTTGTTCCTGCATGTAGGTGGAGTGGGGTTCTCACTGACAGGCCATGGAAAGGTGACAGAAGCAAGATTTGCACATCCATATTTTTGGTCTCCTTCAGTCAATCCCTCGTAAGGGCAGAAATTATAAACTGATGGAGATCAAAGTCTGGAAGGCATATGCCTCCATGGTGGACAGTAGTCCATCTTCTTATTTGCTACTACAGTAACATGAATGAAGTCTTTAAATCTAGTTCCAGAAGCAGACAGGTCTTACTTTGTAGCTGTAATAATTGATTGTTTACTTAACGCAATACAGAATCACCTAGGGGAGAGAGTCTCACAGAAGCACTGGTTAGATCCAGTTGGCCTGCTGGAATGCCTGCGAGGGATTTCCTTGATTGGGTTAGTTGAGATGAGAAGACCCACCAAGGGTGGGTGAGGCTATTCTCTGAGCAGGGGATCCTAGACTGTATAAGAATGGAGAAAGAAAGCAGAACCCTGCCAACCATGCCCCGATTCATTCTCTTTGTCTCAACTGGGATGTGCTGTGGCTAGCTGCTTGAGTGCTGCCTTGACTTCCCCACAATGGTAAGTGGAAACCTGGAACTGGACTCGAAATAAACATTTGCCCATTCAGTTGCTTTTGTCAGGGGACATTATCACAGCTACATGAAGGAGAGTAGCAATTGTTCCTAATAGTAGCTAGCTTCCCAATAGTTCACTAGAATGTGAAGGAGGTGAGGGTCAGGGTTAGAATTCCTATAAGTAGCTGCTTTGGCAGAAGTAAATATAAAATCAATGGAATGTTGATAACAGTGAAAAACAAATGAAGATTATATACCATTATACC